GAACATGGCGAGAGTACTGATGAGTTAGTGATTCCACGATCGCGACCACGAGACGACGACGGCTCAGTTGCGGCGACAATTGATGATGACAGCATGAGTGGTGACGGTCGCCAGTCCCGTCCGATTTCAGAGCTTATAAAGAGCATTGAGATTAACGCCGAGCTCTCCGAGAAGGACAACAAGGGCAAATTGAGCCCATCCCAAATTGACCAGGAGAAGCTCACGCATGCCAATGGAAACGCTGCTATCAAGGCTGAGGACTCTGAGCAACAGAGAGAGCCTCCTTCGGCTGACGTGGAAAAGACCAAATCTGCGACATCTGGCTCATCAGCCCGTGTGAGTTTGACTAAAGATCGACTTCCTAGGTCACTCTCCCGGGTAGCACTTTCCTATCGAACCAACGAATGGGCTAAGCATCTGAGCAACGCCGAAGCACCCGAAGTTGATGATATCCACATCGAGGTACCTCGAAACCCAGCGGTTCCGACCATTGAGGCGCCAGCACCTGTACATGTCGACGAGCTCCGAAAATCATCAGCCGAAGGAACGCCTGCGCCCATGATTCCAAGGCCAGACTCTCAAGCGTCTAATTACTCGCAGACTGCGTCAAGACGCAACGTAAAGCAACATGTTCCGGCCGCTCTCGCCTTGCTCACAGGTGAGAGTCAGAGTCGAAGCCCTGGGGCTACCCCAACTAGTAGCCTTATGGCACGAACTTCTTCAGGAGGCTTGCGAATAGCCTCGGGCGGAATTGCTCCAATTGCAGAAGAACAAGCTGGTTCAAGCCTGACCCCACCGATTGCTGAGGAGGAAACCATGGGGGTGCAAAACCTGAATCTTCCAGCCGCGAATGAAAGTCAACGCACATCAACACCAGGCGTGGTATCTTACTCGAGCCCCCAGACTCTCCTTGGTCAACGAGAAATGTATCTCCGCAACAAATCGGCAGGGAACCTAGTGCCCAGCTCATCCGAAGTGAATCTTCCTGCACGGCACAGAGCTTCCAGCGACGCAGGATCACTCAACAATTACCCGATGTACGCCGCTGCTATTGGTATAGATGTGGACGACTTACCCCTAAATCAGAGGAAGGAACTCATGCGACAGAGCAGTCTAAGCCCTTCTGTTTCAACGCCATCTCTGCAGCGGCTCAGTGGTGGCAGCAATAGTAACGGTTTCAGTAGCTCAGAAGCACTGTTGAACACCCACCAACCGAAACGTGTGTCAACTCTTCCCACCTCTACAGTCCGCGAGGCTGCCCTTGCAACATTCCGACAGTCAGTTCAGCATGAGTTACGCGCGGGTACCCCTGTCATCAGCAGTTCTGGCCGCGAGACGCCGTTCACCCCAAAGTCTCTCTTGGCCAGCAGAGAAGTCGAGGTCCAGCGCAGTGTCGACATGAGTCGTAACATCCTCCTGAGTCAAAAGCAATCCGAAGCCCAGCGCCGCGAGACACAGCAGCGTGAAAAAGAATGGGCTGACAAAGCCTTCGACGAACGAATGCGAAATGGCGACCTTCTTGACGTTCATCGTGAGGCTATGCGTAAGCTTCAGAGGCACGCCAAAGACATGTAACCAACGTCCTCAGCAACTCCCCTCCGAATTCATTATAGTCTGAATTACGTTCTTTCTTTCCTTTTTATTTACCAAGCCATTTCACATACCCATCTTTGATCTCTTTCGATGTTAATGATACCAATGGGTTTCACGGTCACTATTAAAAGTCGGGGGGTTTTGGTTATGAAGTATGGGTAAAATATGATAACGGGGCTCGGAAAGCTCCTTACTACAATATATATACTAGATAAACGCGCAGGGATTAGTTGCGTCTGTTGCTCTGAATTCGATAGCAAAATCGAAAGTTTAGGCTCCTCCAAGTTTAAATAGCCACCTCTTTGAACCAATAGTAAATAAAAGGGGGGAATGTGTTTATGAAAGGTAAATTATTATGACTTGTGAAAGTACTTGACGACGTATATCTAAACCAGAGTAAAACCTTTTCATACCTACGCCGTCGCCTGCAATGATGTCGAGCCCGGGTAACACGAGCGAAATAAAAACAAAATAGCAATAAAGAAAAGGAATGCCAGGGATCTCATTGCGTCCCCCGGATATATACGGTCTGTTATCTCGCCCAGCCATACATGCGTTCCTAGCGCCGATATGTTTCCTGCAGAGGTTCAGTCGTAACAGAGTACGTCGACGACATGGGAACCAACAGGCTGGATTCTGTAGTGAAAGCATCGGGAGTTTGGACGACCTCTCTATCAGCCCAGACAAGTGTCTGACTGCGAAGCTGGGTAGCGGAGCTGTCCTCCCACAACTGGTTGTTGACCACAGAAGGAAGAGAGTCGAGAGGCAAACTGTGATCAAGCGGGGGTCGTTTATCCTTCTTCTTGCCGAAGTGAAATAAGGAGAGAGAAGGAAATGGAATGGTGGGCATGTCGAAGCGAGTGCGGAAGGGGAAAGGGTTACGAAGTGGTGGATTGATGTGTTCTGAGAAAGTCGAAACAGTTGGGGGAGGATAGGAAATCTCTCGTAGGGGCGACTGCGATGTTTGAATTTCACCCATTCGAGGTCCCAATTCGTATTCTGGGGCCATAGGAGCAGCGTCGGTGGACTGTAAAGGTATTGGGTTGAGGCTTGCAGAGGACGCTGTGCTCAAATTGCGCTGAGACAAAAGACTCCTGATCTTGCTCGGTATCGAAGAAGTGCTGTAAAAAATTAGTTCCATAAATATAACCCTCTCCAGATATTTACTTACGTCGAAGTTGTGGAGCCCATAAGATGAGAGTGTCCAGAACTGCTTCCACCGATTGTCCTGTCAGGGTCATACTCATCATGAAGCTTGGGGAAGAGACATCCAAAGCCAAGGCAGAGCAAGCCGCGACGATAACTATTCATGGCGTCCTTGGTCATGCCAAAGAAGATCACGACCGGAATGGCGGACAGGATATGGATATAGCAGTTGTTCAGATACCCGAAGTTAACGCCGTTGGAAGGGACAAAAATGACTGCCGACCATGGATAGGGGATCACTCGATTATGAATGAGGTCGTAATCAAAGGGCTGAAGAGGAAATGCCTTCAGCATGTTGAGAACAGCGAGGGTGACCACTAGAGGCAGATAAGGGATCAAGATGGCCAAGACCATTAGATAAAGGCGGCGCTTCGTCCTCTGAGCGCGTTGGTTAGCAGACCTGCTGCTGTTGACGGCCGAACGAGTGGTTTTTGCAATGTCTCGAAAGCGTATATAGATGAGGACTTTGTGGTGTTAGCTAGACTTACCTACGACTAGGTGGTAAGGGAGACATAGACTTACTCGCATATCCAGATGTTATCAGTGCAACTGTAACAGGGGCCAGGACGAAGAAGACCATATATGGCCACGAAGGCCATGCAATCCAACTGCATCCAGCCAGGGTAGCTACTGCGTATCGTTGAGTAGTCAATGGCCAGACCCATGCGACCTGGAGGATTGGAAGGGGAAACATGATAAGTGCCTGGACCAGATTACGTCGGCGTCTCTCCCGAACTGTGAGGGCATTGGCACGAAGGAGGCCGACTTGCTGGGCAAGATTACGCATGATGGCCAGGAGACAGGTCCCAAACAGGGCATTGGTGAAGTTGACGTAGTAAGCATTGAGATCGCAGAATCCTTCGCCATTCCACCACTTGCTAGTGTCGTCGTTCCGCCAAATGAGGGCGTTGACAATTGTGTCGAGGTTTGACCATTCGATGTTGGCAATAAAGACAACAGCTGCGAACTCTCCATTGCGGTAGAGATTCTTGAGAGGGACTATACAGGCAATATTGGCGATGAGACCCAAGAGCACTCTGCAAACAAGGTTGGTTGTTAGAGATGGAGTGGTGATGGTCCCAGGTCCAGGAGCCACGATGATAGACAAGTCATCACGACCAAACAGGTGAGCTGAATCGATCATGACGACGAAGAAGGAGTGGCTGGATCTCAAGATTTGTCAAAGTCAAGGCAGCTTGGTGATGTTGATAGATGCAAGATGGCTCGGGACGTTTACGTCTTGGCTCAACGGTTGATCAAAGCGGGAAGCGCAAGGACATCACTCAGGAAGCAACGACTCTGTTGGTTATGTTGAGCAGGGCTTTAATAGTACATAATAAAAGTAAAAAGGAAGTCAATAACAGCGAGATGTGTCATGGTGGAGAGCTCAGTAAGACGGCGGTGCCGTCACTTGGACATGAGATGAGAGGCGGCATGCCAATTGGCGTGCCTGGAGCCCTAATTGGCAGCATATTTCGGTTGGGGTGCTATCATTAGTCCCTTTTCCCCCTTCAATAAGAGAGAAGCAGGAATCTTTGACTCCGTTTGGAGTTTGGCGTTACTGTCATGTCTACTTGTATAAAGCGCGGCTATTGTGGGCGTCTATTGACAACCCGATCGGGTAAGTGGATCTAGCAGGGGTAAGCGAACGAGGCCACTGAATAAGACTCAATAGGCTGCAATGCATGCTTGCAAGCCCATTTACACAGTAGAAACAAGTCTGTTCGATCTGAAGTTGGTAAGAAATTGGGGGCGCTGAAGTTTGAGCCGCAAAGCAGAGTTGGTCATTTCTGGTAGAATACGACGATTTGATCATTCACGGGGATAGTGATCCAGAGCACTTAGCACCATGGTCCAGATGGGAGGATGAACAGCTCCAACGTTAGAGTGCAATTGAAATTCAAAATTTCAGTCTGCCACAGCTGGTGAATATTTCAAATATGCTGTAGTTAGTTATGCGTTTCCTCCGATTCACCGAGTAGCGAAGTCCGCTTTTGGAATCGTACACTTCTTGGCCGCGAGCTGAACTGGTCATGCCTTCACGGCATTGGAAGTTTATTGATGGGATGTTAATGCGCGTAAATGTAAGGTCGTATCGGAATCGCAGTGTCGTGGATATGCAGATATCCAGCACTCCACAGTAAACGGCACCCATCTACCGGGTCGCACAACACCTTCAATCTGAGCCAATCAAATAGCGCATTGAGGGAGCATCCCTAATTCCAATCTCAGCTTGCCCACCCTATCGCGTGTCAGGGTTTCGAAACAAACCGTCCTGACGCGACAAGCACACCAAAGCTCAGTCCTCCAGTGCCCGCCTTATCAACATCACCCATACCCTCGCCGCCACGGTTTCCAGCTTCAGCTCTTCACCGACAACGTACCAAACAAGCAAGCAAGCATGTCTTTCTCTTCCGTCTTCCGCCGCGCCGCCGTCGCCCCGGCCTCTGCTGCCCGCGCCTTCAGCACCACCACCCCTCGGCCTCTGGCCAAGATCACCATCATCGGTAATCTCGCCGACACCCCCGAGGTTCACTCCACCAGCACCGGCCGCGAGATCCTCCGTTATGCTGTCGCCAGCAACAGCGGACCCCGCGACAACCGCAAGACCAGTTGGTTCCGAGTCACTAGTTTCGCCGAGGGCCCTCAGCGCGACTACCTCATGAACCTTCCTAAAGGGTACGATAACTTCTGAAGTCAGTTGCAACACGTAGCATTTGTGCTGACGATATACACAGTGCTAGCGTCTACGTCGAGGGTGATGCCTCCGTGAACACCTACACCGACTCCAACGGCCAGAACCGCACCAGCTTCAATATTGTCCAGCGTAATGTTTACTCCTCCCTAGATACTATACACCAACGCTAACCCTTCTTTAAGGCAACCTCGAGGTTCTCCGACGTCCCCAGGCTCCTGAGCAGGGCGAGTAAGCAGCAAATATTAATTGAATCCTTTCTTCAAACATGGTCGCAAGTAAAGCGCCTGACCGCAGTCTTCTGCCTACCTGTTCTCCTCTCTCACAATGACCGGTTTCTTTTGTTGGATGTTAATGTATGGATGTAATGTACGATGAGCGTTATGCACAACCTCTGGAGGAACTGTATGATACCATGATGCAATAAACCTTATTAATCACGCACGTATTCCTTCATCGTGTGTGTAAACATACAGGCTACAGAATGCGATACAAGGCTGTGAAAGCACTACCTCGTAGATTAGGATCATACGTATATGTGCCCTCCGCTCTTTGGACGCATGGTAGATTCTCCCCCTTTTCGGCAAGTTTTCTAATACAGCAGGTAAGGGTTCCTCTGGGAAGGCAGACATGCTGGTCAACATGAAATTGTATGTTGTCGATATGGATGTCTGTCTAGTCGCAGAAATAGTTATACCGGAAATCTAAGAGCATCTATACCAACGCACAACTGTCCATACATCCAAAACCAGCAGCGACGCCACCTTCCTCGCTCTTGTCGCCCTTTGTGCGCAAAAGATACCCGGCTTCCTCGTTGTGGTGAACTTCGCCTGTGCTCTGGTCCCAGATGCAGGTACCGTAGATCCCCAGCTCGCAAATAACACCGCCTTGCTCTAGATTGCCATTGCGAAGAATGATGTTACTGACTGGTGGGGGAGTGATGAGCTCCATGAGAATGTAAGATCCCCAGTGGGATTCAGGAACAGATTTGAGGAAGTCTGGAATAGCACCTCGATAGATATTGTTGCCACCACCTTCACGCTGGGGCTTCAACACATAATTTTGGCAGATTTTGGGGTCGAGGGCCTTCTTTCGAGCCTCAAGGCCAGCATCGCTGATATCCATGGGGTAGATGTTGGTAAATGTGCGCCACAGCTCAGCTGCGTCGTCTGTGTCATCACGAATGAACTTACTAAGAGCCGAGGACTCTGTTGAAGGGCGCGGTGTTGCGAGAATTTGTTGAACCTTCTTCGTTCCAGCTAATTGGGTCAGGACACTAGGGCATTTAATAGCATTCGACCTCTCTAGGTGGTAACGAGCTTGCCAAGCTTGTTGATCAGGGTAATCAGAAGGTCCATATCCGGATCGCATGTAGATCACAGCAACTTCGTAAATCTTTGAATGGTTTCGTGGAAGGGCGTACAGAAGCTGGCGTTTAGAGGTGTCTGCAATCTTGGTGTGCTGCAGGATTTGGGAATAAGGTAGTCGGAACACAGGGATAGATGACGAAGAGTTTATGATTTGGTATTCAAGATGGCGCTGGTCGAAGATGTTCCTCTCGCCGTCTTGTACGAGAAAGATGACACACTTCTGGTGGCCGAGTTCAGAGGCGGGATAAATGTTGTAAGCCTCCACAATACCTGCTGCTAAGCCACGAGCGCTGGTGTTCTCGGGCAAGTCTAGTGATCCTTGGGTAACAGGGTTTTCCAAAATTGGGTACTCGGTTGTAGCAAGATATCTATTCTTGTTAGGCTCAGTTCGTTAATGAGCGGCTGAGAAAAGGAGTCCAATTACTTGTGAAGAGCAGAGGTGTGTGTCGAGAGGCCACCGAACGAAGAAGCAATGGTATTGAACTCAACCTGTTTGACTTGCAAAGAAGACTTGGAGGTCTCAGTATCCTGATGCACCATATAGTCTGAGCGAAACAAGCCCAGAGAAAGGGGCTATTATCTTGTTAATGAGGCGTTCTCAATTAAATCGAAAGACACCTGCCTGTGTATATCCCTCAGCCTTAACCTTGGTATGAACGTCCCACAAGTTTCGAATAAACTCATCACCATCCGAGACCCTAAACTTGTTTAGAAATTGTAGCATGCAAGCCTGAGGTAGACTCACTCCTTCACGACCTGAGCCAAGAATTCTTCATCCCTGCTCACTGAGGCATACAGCTCGTTGTAAGTCTTTTGAACTGCCTTACCCTGCGCGAAGCATTGCTTGGGAAATGGACTTGGAAAGAGGGTGACAGGAACATTGATAGCAGCGATGCTTTTGGGGTCTGCCTCGGCGGCTATGACTGTGGGAGGAGGTCTGACTGCGAGGCCATTACCTATTGACCAGTCCTTGACGGTCTCGATGAGAGCGTCCTTTTCTTCGGCCGTGAGAGTGGGTGGGTATTCCCCGTCCGTGAGAGATGCCATTATGCTGGAACTGACTTAGACTTCGCAATGAGGTTATCCACCGAACAATTGAAATCGAGAGATACTTTGAAAGATCGACTATGTAAGAGAAGTATGAAAGGTCGTCAGTTTATTATTAGTCAAGACGCTGGCTTACGTGCTTGGCTGAACGTGGTGGCTTAATAATTACAGTGGGTGCTTCTAGGTGGGACGGGAATACCTGAAAATGGATAACGGCTGGTTCTCATAAGAGACCCACGGCAATTGGGTTTACCCTTTTGGCATTGGATCCATTGGATTGGATTAGAAGAAGCTTTCTGGTGGAAGGACTTTATTTTGGTATTTTATGAGGGGCATTGGCGATAGCGGGGTAACAGATTGTGAAGTTTATATTGTATAATATCTTGTTTCTCTCTTTAGTTCTGGCATGGTTGTAGCACTCACACTCACTTGGAGAAGACATAATATACTGATATCTAGGGCACCTGCTGGCCACAGTGGCGTACAGTTCATCTTGGTATGCATGGACAAGTATGAAGTTGAACAAAATGAATCTGTCATAAGGTAGAGCAAGATCATAGCGTAGTTGATTACCTAAGATAGGTGTGAACCCGTTTATAGACACAAAATACCTATCTCTTTGAGCGGCACAAGGCATCAAAAGGTTACTCGCCCCACTTCACTTACTAACCACACTAATACCTGCAGGGTATGTAAAGTTCTTATTAGATAGCTGCTTAATTTTTTACTACTAAATTCATTAAAAACCTTATATAAATAGCCCCTAGCCTATTATAATTAAAATAATAAGCTCTTTAAAGATATAAGATAGCTTAGATAATTATAGCTTTAATACCCTGCCTTTAAGAGCAGCTAATAACCTTACTAATATGCCTAATTTTCTGCCTAAAGAGGGCCGTAATAATAATTTTTAACCTTTTAAGTTAGAATATTATAATTTTAAGATTAACCCTCTACCTAAGGAACTACTTAAATTATTTTAGCTTTTTATACCTATTTCCCTTATATAGTTATAGGTTAATTATATTAATAGCTAGGTTACTTACTTACTTAAAAATGCCATTATTAATAACTAGAATACCTCCCTTTCTAAATACTTATATATCCTTAAATAGGAAGGTATCTTTACTTTAATGGCTTATATATAGCTTAGAGTTATTATTTACTTAAGGATTTATAAGGAAATATTAATAAAGGACTATTAGAGGGCACTTAGCCTAGGAGATTAGCGCCCTTTTTACTTAATTATTAAGTTTATATTACTATAGAAGTTTAAGCTAATTAATAGGTATTTTTATATTTTTAATTATATTAAAGTTAATATAAGGAATAAGGGGGATCTTCTAAAGACTTTTTAAGTAGCTAAAAAGTAGTTTAACCTTATATAGAAGGTATTAAATAAGCTCTATCTTTTAGGGACTAATCTAATTATAAATAAGTATATAGTGCTGTTTATAGGCAGATTAAAAGAAATAATGCTTATTAAGGGAAAGCCTATATTAATAGGCTTTAAAGTCTAGGTTATTACCTAATAGGGCTTCTTTCTTTAGTAGCTTTAGTATATAAAGTTATTACTATATACTGCTATTATTATTAACTTACTTATAATAAAGCTATAAGGTAAGAAGGGAAAGCTATAGACTAAGATCTCTCTTAGTAATATATAAAGTATTATAGTTTACCTAGTAAAAAGGCTACTTCCTTAAATATATTATGTCTTTATAGATAACCTCTTCTTATTACTGTAGCTTTTTTGCCTCTTTTGGCAGCTTGGCTTTAGTGCTATAGGTATGGCATGCCCTAACTGCAGCATTAATACTAAGATAAAGTAGATAAAAGAGACTAGTAAAGCTCTTAATAGTATGCCTTTAAGATATAATAAGGTTATATTAATCCTAATATTAGATAAATAGGTATAGATAACTTTTAGCTATATTTCCCTTATTAATTTATCCCTTTTTATTCCCTCTAGGTTATCTAAATTACTTAAAAGGATAATAATATAATGCTCTTTATTTTAACTATATATAGTAATGCCCCTTATAAGCATATACTAAAAAAGAGGAAGCTGCTAGCTAAGAGAGGCATAAAGGTAGAGGCATAATAGCTATAATGCCTTTTTAATAAGAATAGCTTTAAAATAATCCCTATACCTATTATTACTGCTTAGTATAACGATAAAATGAATTATATAGACTGCGGTAATTAGATAAGGTCTTATATAATATATAAGTATTAATTCTACTGCAGTCTGTAGTAGGCATTACTTTAGAGCTTCCTTCTTAAAGTTACACTTGCAAATAGCTTTATTTTGCAAAAGAAGACCTAGCACCCTCGTTAAAAGCCTTATAGTATGCTATAAGCTTAGAAGGAATATATCTGTAATGCGATTTTTAATATATATACTACTAAAGGCGGCATAAGGAAGAGAAGTTAGTTAGGAAAAGAAGAAGATATTAAGGATATAGAAGCATGGCAAAATTACCTATAAAGAGATATTAATTATATCTGCCGAGGCAGCTATTTGCCTTACTTAGCTTATAAAGGCTACCAGCAAGGGTAGCCTTAACCCTTTAAAAAAAGGAAAGAAAAAGGAGGCTATCTTAAGCCGATATTAGGAAATTAAGGGTGCCGGAAGACTAGGTATGGTTGCAAAGTATATAATATAGCGATTTATAATAATACTGACTGTTAGTACCTCTATCACACGCTAATTTAGGTGTAGGTGAATGTACCGATCATCGCGATTATTTTAATTGGCCCCCGACCCCGGTCGTGACCTCACTGATGCCTTATGCCGCTTAAAGAGATAGGATTAATCCTCAGAGCAGGAAATGCTGCTATGGATGCTCATTGTTTCCTTTTTCCTTTTTTAATTTTCTGTCCACTGAGTCACGAATGTACCTTCCCGCCTTACGAGGTTTCGATACTCCAAGGTCACGTGACAGTATAACGCCGTTCCGTCGGGTTGCCACTTCGCAGAGGTACCTAGGTAAGTACTTACTCCATACCCCACCACATGTACAGTACCTGCCTTCCCTTTGTACCGTGCAACAAACGCGCTCTGACTGGAAAAGAAGGCACTCTTCCCAACATCGCTCAACTTTGCACCTCACGATTTCTGCAAAACTCAGTTTGTTTCCTTGCTATTTTTCTTCTCTCTAACGATCTCATAGAACTCATAGAGAAGCCAACACGGGGAGTTCTTTTTTTCCTTGCAGGGTTTTCCATCTCCTTGTATCTGCATTTGCGCTCTGTTTGCACTTCCACTTCACCTCATAGTCTTCTTAGTCAAGCCTTTGATACCCAAGCGTTTATTTTTTCTGAACGTTTGAGATTTCTTCCCGGCGCCAAAGAGCAGCGAGGATTCAGCCTTGGGTGGCCTTTCTCAAACGCGGCCAAGCGGCGGCTATGCACATTTCCTCCAACTCATATTCTAGTCTCTGGGCCTTTGCTCAGCAGACCTGGCACAACAGCTCATGCTTTTAATTATAATAAACTTTCTCTCGTATGTCTCCTCCCTTGTTAATGGCTAAACTCCTTACTCTATTTTTCAAGTACCAAGTTTGACAGAAGAACTATCTGTGCTCTTCTGAGCACGTGTATCACCAATGGATGACATCGAGGATGATCCCTATTCTTGGGACGTCGGCGTGGTTGTCAATCGACTCTGCGCTCCTGGAGTCCCATGGAGTCGAGATCCTGCATTCCTCGCCACACGCATTCAGGAGGAGGAACTTGATGGCAAGACTCTATTGACCTTCGAGCATGTGTGTTCGCGTCAAGAGTTGATGGACTGTCTCGGCATTAGGATCGCCCGCCACAAAGCTGCCCTGGTGGAAGCTATCGTTACTCTTCGTTCTAAGAGCAAGGGGTATTGGGAATGGCAAGCCGACTTCAAGCGAAAACAATCTGGGTTCCCTGGCGAGGAAACCAAAGACTCAACACATGCCACCGAACAACGGCATTCCTCCAATCTTCCGAACGGTGATCGCCATAAAGAAAAGGGGACGCCTGTTTCCGTTTCTGATACTAATGGGACGATTCCTCATGCCACTGGGAACTCATTGCAGCAGGAATTGCGTAGCCAAAACCATCTACACACTCCTCAAGCGGATGGCCAGCTTCAACTTGCAACGCATTCTCACCAGCCGCCCATTCATGAACCTCCTGACCAAATCTCAGAGGTTGATGAGAGGTCTAATAAACGCAGGCGGATGGCCCCCATGCTGTTGACAGACAAACCAAGGAACGTCGATCCTGTTTTCCTCCCGACGGAAGCTGATGTGCTTGACTACGCTATCAATAAGGCTGTGCCGGGGTTCCCAGATGATGCCTCTGCAGGCTTTCCGTGGGAAAATGCACCCTCATATGCCTACTTAGGCAGGGGTAAGCTTTCAAGAGAGGACATTCTAACGCCAGTCGGCATGTTGAGTTCGCTCCTCAAGGAGAGCGAAAATTCTTTTACTTCAGTCAGCATCCATACAATTCCACCTGGAAGAAGACTCGCGGCAAACAATATCCTCAAGCGGCTTCTCATGGGCCGCTATCGCATATCCACGCATTCCTCGAGGTCGCAAAGCCATCTATCTAACGAGTCTGATGAAGTCCTCGAACTCGCCGACCTTGACAACGAACTCGACGCTGAGACATTGAGGGAGATAAAAGAAGAGGAGGCTGAAAACGAGAGGCTTGATACCCTTGACGATAATCCCCAGCCCTATCCCTTTGTCACTCCTGAGCGAACAGCGGAGATATTAAACGAGGCCATAACAGCTATCGAGGCAAACTGGACGGAGAAGAAGCTCCCAAAGTATGAGCGGAAAGCTTATAGTCTATGGCAGAAATCTCGCCGTCTTGGCATCAAGAACATCCAAATCCAGGATGCTTACAAAACGGCTAAGCATCTCATCACACGAATCCAGAAACTCTGTCTCGAAATTCAGAAGACGGACTCGACCTCCGAGTCACATTACCGAGAGGCAGCGAAAAGCCTTGAGCAAAGCTTAGAAGACAAGAAGTATCAGGAGTGGTTGATCAAGTTGCTTGAGTCGTCAAGACCACCCCCAAAACCACAAACAGTGGCCCGTCCGAAACCACGCACCGTGCGGCAGCCGGACACTCTGGCCCTTATGGAAGAAGAGGTTCTCACTAGCTCTGAAGAGGAAGATTTCGTCGTTCCTGACGATCACATGGATATAATTGAAAACGGGTTGATGACTGGTCGGGATTCGCCACCTCCCCTTATGAAGGAGGAATGGGCGGATTTCGATACTGACTTCATGGATTTGACTCAGGACGACACGGATGAGCCCTGGGGCTTGGGTTATGATATGACTAATCCCATCGATTTGACCAGTCCTGCCAAGCAAGCGAACAGTCCTTTGTATGGAGATGATTGGGGAAAAGCCGTCCCTCCCAGAAAGAATCTTTTTGAAAGAGAAACTCTCAATGCAGGTACATCTAATGCAGCCATCACGGAAGGAGAGAACTCGACAACGGACAAACCTATTAACATCGAGAACAAATCATTTGAACCCGAAGTTGTCAATTTCCAGGCTCCCATTAACCATGTTTCCGAAGAAGCCCATGACGATAACCAAAGCCGAGAGATTCAGCCAGAAAGAACCCAATCTCCACGTCACAATGGCGGCCTTCAGCCCCCACCTATCGAGAATTTTGGCGATCTTCAACAGCTCGCATCCCAAGCGCTTAAAAAATACGTTAAGCGCAACGATCGCTGGCGATTGTTGATCGGTGAGATGTGGCATATGGAACATGCCCGGCGAAAGTCAGCAGTCGATCTGATATTATCAGATCACCCCGATGTTGTATGGGACGAGCGTATCCAGCCATACCTATTTGAACCCCTGGAAGATCCCGAACAGCTACGAGAGGGCAACGCGAAGGTGGTTCTTTTTGACGTTGTACGTCTTTGTCGCTGCTTCTTCCTGTGTCAGCACACGACAGAAGAACAAATGCTTTCCTATAAAGTAGGAAAGTTGAGAAAAACATTGAACCAGGCACGAGTCAGGTTCTTCGAACCTCTCTGCATGTTCGTAGCGGCTCTTACGCCTCACTTCCCTCAGGATAGTCAAATCTATAGACAAGACACGGACATTCTTGACGAGTTATTTCCAGAGGGACAGGATGAGATGTTGGACTTCGACGATCTCGTCGAGGAAGGGCGTGCGGGGCGTCGAAGACCAAAAGAAAAAGAAATCATCCGTGACAAAGCAGCCGTGGATCTTCGAGAACGCGAGAATCAAAGGCTTAAGGAACAAGAAGCTCGCAGAAAGAAGTTGAGGGAGACCCTCGCACTGGATGGCTCAGTGTCACGGGATGGGACTCGCCTTATCGTAAACGAAAGCAAAGAAGAAGACCAAAGTCTCATCTACATCCACGAGGACATTGGCCGCCGAATCAAGGATCACCAAATCGACGGCGTTCGCTTCATATGGAACCAAATTGTGCGGGATCCCAGTGTACGACAAGGCTGTTTGCTAGCCCACACAATGGGACTCGGTAAAACCATGCAAGTCATCACTGTCCTCGTCGCTTTGGCAGAGGCAGCACAGTCTAAAGACCCATCTGTAGTGGCTCAAATACCTGAAGATCTGAGGGAACCACGGATTCTGGTTCTTTGTCCAGCTGCCTTGGTGGACAACTGGATGGATGAGCTCCTCAAATGGGCACCACCGAATTTACTGGGGGAGTTGCGCAAGGTCTCATCTAATACACCGGCCGAGGAAAGGGGTGCGGTGGTGTCATCATGGGCTTCCGGCAGAGGCGTCCTTACAGTTGGCTACGAGATGTTCAAAATAATTATGAACACGTCTGAAGACCTAGCAGATCTTCTGACAAATCGTCCGGACGTGGTCATCGCCGATGAGGCGCATAAGATGAAGAATCGGGAGTCACAAACTAACCTGGTTTGTTCACGCTTCAGAACAAAGAGTCGTATTGCACTCACTGGGTCACCATTGTCCAACAGCGTATTAGAGTATTTTGCCATGATTGACTGGGTTGCTCCCAATTTCCTTGGCCCGTTCTCCGAGTTTAGCCACATTTATGCCTCTCCGGTAGAGCGAGGTCTCTATAACGACAGCACACCGTCTGAAAAAAGGAGGGCACAAATGAGGCTGAAGGCACTTGAGCAACTCGTGGCACCTAAGATCAATCGCCACACGATCGCTGCCCTAAAAAACGACTTGCCACCAAAGCAGGAGTTCATCATATTCGTGCCTCCAACGACACCTCAGACGCAGTTGTACCAATTGTACATCAAGGGTGTAGCAAGAGAAGGCACCGACTCGCAAGCTGAGACTTTCGCTGCCATCAACCATCTTGGATTGATTTGCAGCCATCCGCGATGCTTTGAAGCAAAGGTGAAGGCGATCCAAAAGGGGATCCGCTCAAACAGCGATAATGAAGACAAGTCCTTCCCCAAGTCTATGATTCCGGAGTTCTTGAAAACGTTGCATTCTTTTAGGGACTTGGACACGCCAACGCTTTCATTAAAAACAGAACTGCTGACAATCATCCTCGACGAGGCGCGTCAAGTTAACGATAAGGTGCTTATTTTCAGCCAATCCTTGCACACATTAAATTATATCGAAAACATGTGTAGAATGCAGAAGAGGACGGTTTCTCGCCTAGATGGTGGCACACCAGTTCCGAGTCGACAAAGGCAGACAAAAGATTTCAATGAGGGTAGCAAAGAGGTGTTTTTGATATCTACAACTGCTGGTGGTGTAGGACTCAACATTCAGGGAGCTAACAGGGTTATCATTTTTGACGTTAGATATAACCCGTCGGACGAGCAACAAGCTGTGGGCCGAGCGTATCGTATCGGCCAGCAAAAGCCTGTATTCGTCTACCGTTTCATGGTCGCAGGGACTTTCGAAGATAATCTTCACAACAGACAGGTTTTCAAAATGCAGCTGGCATCGCGAGTTGTTGACAAGAAGAATCCCATCAGCTGGTCAAAGCGCAAGGGTGATGTAGTGTCGGTGATCAGACATTGTCCGCCAAGCGACCTCACCCCTTATCTCGGCAAGGACAAGATTCTGGACAAACTTATAATGCATCGCAAGAATGGCGAAGGCATCCGATCTATTGTGACAACGGACACATTCGAAGAGGAAGATCTTGGCGCGGCGCTTACTGAGGACGAGAAGAAGCAAGTGGCTGAAATGATCGAACTGAATCATCTTCGAGAAACCAACCCAGAGGAGTATTTGAGGGCGAAAGACCGAGTGGAATTAAAGGAGCAGGCTGGGATGTATAGAGAACAGGATGAGCTCCTTCGTGCGAGTTCGTTATCTCAACAGCCTGTGCCTCGATCAATTGATGATACATCGGATATGCTTCACCATGCACAATTTCCGCCTCCGGCAACCGCTCCGGCTCTTGGGCAGGATGTGTCGGGCGCCAGAAAACTATTTCGCGAAGCGAGCACACTTGTAAGTTCCCTCCTTTGCATGCTTTCGAGTTCCCTGCTTACCCATGCAACAAGACGAGCCGGCCTGTGTCCCAGCAACCTACAGCTTCAGCCCATGGCCCAGCTCCAATGCCAATGGCTGGTGCGAACACCTTTTTCGGAGAGCATAACCATTCTGGGCCAGTGATTGAGCCGCACTCGACGCCGACAGTATCTGCGCCGCAGGAGCCTCCGAGAATGACAGCGTTGCGAACACTTTCAACTCGACTTACCAATACCCCACCATTGACCAACGCGTCCTCAATCAGAACGCCAAACCAGGAGCCCAAGCCAACCAAAAGCCCTGTGAATCCGTCGCGCGCGAGTCCCATCTTTAAGCAAGGTGGAGTTTTTAACGTGACCGAGAACCCTGCGATGGTCGAGTTTGAGAGTCATTTGCGGGAGAGCCTTCAAAAAGTGCAACACCGCAATTTGCTACAAACAGGAGGTGACCCCGCTGAGATAGCCAAGTCTACAACAATGCGTGTAAACGAGGTCCGTAGGAAGGGCCAGTATGGGCTGCTCCCTGACACGAAGCATTGGAGGGTACTCATTAGGCTTCTATCACACGAAAAATGGGTGATTGCAATTGCCACAGGCTATATAAAGCCAGAATATTTGGCTGAAGCCGAAGAGAAAGTGCTCGAAAAGCGACTAGAGGCCATCAATGCACTCAAAGAAGCGGAGATCGCTGCCCGTGCACTTGAGAAGACCAATTCGCCCGACCCAAATGTATGACGCTCAACAAACCTAGCTCTGGACAACCCTTTTTTCCCTCTCTTCTCCAGCTCCCCCCCCCCCCCCCCCCCCCCCCCCCTTTTTTTTTTTTTTTTTGCACGTTCACTAATTTGTTATTTCAAAGAATTTGCAGAATATCAGGCGTCGAAGCTCACACCAGGGTGAGAAACGACCCCGGGCTACGGATGATATGAAAGTAATGCGGGAAGCGGCGGATAATAGGAGAAACCGAGCATTCCGTCTACCGCCATGGGCAAATGAGGCCCTTTCCGAAGAGAAAAACCGAACATTACCTGCAATGGGCACTCGAGAAGGGCAGTTTGGCTTCAGGGATGATACGCCTGGCCTCTGACATGAGAGATCTTACAAATATTGTCCTTTCTTGATTGAGGATTGGAGTTCATGGGATCATGCAGATGGGAATGATGACAGTACGGTGGGGATGCATACGGGAAGATATTTTCTATGGCGTTTACGGCATGGCATAGCATTGAGCCAGATGATACCCTTTTTGAGGATGCGTTAATATGTACATTTGGTTTTCAGAGAGGCAGATGGGTTTCCATTGTCAACCCCACATTTAGTCCCTACCAATAATAAACTTTATGCAGCAATCCGTGGATCCTGAAGTTGGAAACCAGATGATTTGCATCGACTACCTAGGTAGATAGATATGTATTTTACAAGCATTTATTTCCCCTGCCAGGTTTGAACACATCGATATATTCTGTTGAGGTTGCTTCAAGAGTCCCGACCGACTCGATTCGACATATCAGAATCGCCGTCCGAACAGTTCGGTGAAGCAGTAATTATAAGGTCTTGATCACTTAACAACAGATTCACAACATATTTTCATCCGTAAAGAAGAATTCTCTTTTTATTAACGTTAGAAAGAATTATAGTCTACGATAGACTTCGGCAATCATGACCCAATATGTTTAACAAGGAAAGTCTCGTTTTAGTGTGTTTAATGAGTCCGTGTAAAACCACCGGTTTCGGGGATAGACGAAAATGTCTTAGCACAGTTTTCCATCACTCTACATCCATGATCATACTCGGGAGGAAGAGCAGTGGGTACTGCGATGCATCGTACGAGACGTTTAGTACAAGGCCGAGAGTGTTTATTTTCAGACTCGGGGACCTGGGCTGACATCCAATTCTTAATTTGAGCGGTACAAAGTATCATGTCTGGCAACGTTGCGGTATGTTGATTCAATGTTAGGTTAGAGCATTCGGAACCTTTTTGTTATCTTCTTTCTTCGGAATGATGGAAGTATTCCAGCTGATGAATCTCGTCATGTCCGCCTTTCAATGACAATGCAACCATAGCCAACCAATAACCAGGAAGGAATGGACAGATCTAGCCCTTGCTGGGATTTAGAGTGCAAAAAAAGACGAACCAATTACGAGCGAGGTATTTCGTTACGGCTGTCCCTGAGTTTGACTCGGGCGCTGTATTCCCTGTACGTACCAGCATCAGATGTCGGTATGTGCGGGCTTTCACCTTTGAGGCTGCGGGCCGCTGTAGGCCGCAGTTTATTTTCTTCACAAATGGTGAGAAATACTTTCGGTGAGAATAGAGGCGCATGTAATGCAGATACCTACCTTACCTACTAATGTAGAGACGTTGATACAGGTAAAGTACCTTAAATCTTGATATTCATATAACCTTAGTAGAGTGGCTCAAACCATTCACGTGTCAGACTAACCTGCATACGTAGTGATAGTTAACTCACCTAGACCAGTCGGCATCCCCTCGAGAAAGCTGACCTATGCAGATGGAAATGCCCTGCATCGGCAGAAGAATGCACAGTTTACTTGCCCGAATAGGGAAACTTGCGCGGAGTTGAACTCATCGGACGCTTGTCAGAGGTGGAGAGAACGAAGAAAAAGGACGGAACCGAAACGGAAGCATTCAGTGGGTCAATGACCGACCGTTCTTGCCGAACCACCACCGACTTATTATTGATTCCAATCCTACCTCAGTCACACTCACTACATAGCCTAGGTAGTTTCCGCCGCTATATTTTCCACCGTCTTCTTCCTTCTTTTCTCTCCTCACATTTCGACACCGCCAACCTCATTTTTCTCTAGTTGTTAAAGGCCCAATTGCTTGTGATTTGTCTCACTTGTTCGCTCTCGCGGCTGATTGTAAGCCCTTGTTCGCTTTTTCGCACGTCTGGCATATTTGCCCCTCCACGTTCGAAAACACCACGTTTTGCCCCTCCGATTCACTTGACGAAGGCATTGCCCTCTCAATTCAACGAATACTATCGAATACACGCAACAATGGATGCTGTCCTTCGTCAGTCCAAGGCTATGTGCCCTTTCATGAAGACGGCCACGCCTGCCACTCTGCGCGCCTTGTCCACCTCGACTCGTGCCCTTCCGGTTCCCGCCTCCCCATGCGGCGGCACCATGTCCAAGCTTCAGTTGCTTGGCCAGCGATGCCCTGTCATGGGAAAGGCTATGGCCGTTCAGACCGCCAAGAGCCGCGCTGCTGGCTCTGTTCGTGCTTTCTCTGGCCACTCCAAAACTGGCAAGGCCAAGATTCACACCACCCGCAACAAGGAGGCTCGCGCTGTCGACCGCCCGCTCTTTGACGGCCGTGACAATGGTACGTAGTCTCCCAAGCCAGAACTTTGATCATCTCGTCTGTTCATATCCTGACTCTTGCATCTTAGCTCCCGCACCCCCTGGTGTTCATGCAAACCGAAAGCCTACTTCTGCTTCTCCGACCGCTGCTGCTGCCGCCGCTGGCTTCCACTCCCCTGGTAAATTCGATTATGAAGGATTCTACAATGCTGAGCTCGAGAAGAAGCACAAGGACAAATCATACCGCTATTTCAACAACATCAACCGCTTGGCCAAAGAGTTTCCCCGTGCGCATATGTCCGACAAGGAGGATCGAGTAACTGTATGGTGCGCCAACGATTACCTAGGTATGGGCCGCAACCCTCATGTCCTCAGAAAGATGCACGAAACACTGGAGGAGTATGGTGCTGGCGCCGGCGGAACTCGAAATATCTCTGGCCACAACAGACACGCCGTTGAGCTTGAGGGTACCTTAGCAAAGCTGCACGCTAAAGAGGGCGCCCTTGTCTTCAGTTCCTGCTATGTTGCCAATGATGCAACTCTCGCCACGCTCGGCAGCAAGATGCCTGAGTGTGTCATTCTCTCCGACAGCCTGAACCACGCCTCTATGATTCAGGGTATTCGCCATTCCGGCACCAAAAAGATCGTTTTCAAGCATAACGATGTGCAAGATCTCGAGGCTAAGCTGGCATCACTTCCTTTGCATGTGCCCAAGATCATCGCCTTCGAGTCAGTCTATAGTATGTGCGGCTCTATTGGTCCTATCGAGGAGATCTGCGATCTTGCCGATAAGTATGGTGCCATCACTTTTCTCGACGAAGTCCATGCCGTCGGTATGTACGGACCCCACGGTGCTGGTGTCGCTGAGCACCTTGACTGGGAGGCACACGCCAACGGTGCCCCTCGCGGAACCATCATGGACCGAATCGACATTATTACTGGCACTCTGGGCAAGGCTTATGGTTGCGTTGGTGGCTACATTGCTGGTAGCGCCAAGTTCATTGATATGATCCGATCATTGGCTCCTGGCTTCATTTTCACTACTTCTCTTCCCCCTGCCACAATGGCCGGTGCTCAGGCTTCGATTGAGTACCAGATGGACTTCGATGGTGATCGACGACTCCAGCAGCTGCACACTCGCGCCGTCAAGGAAGCTATGAACGCTCGAGACATTCCCGTCATTCCTAACCCTTCTCACATTGTGCCTATCCTTGTCGGCAACGCTGAGACTGCAAAGGCAGCTTCCGATATGCTTCTTAATGACTACGGAATCTACGTCCAGGCTATCAATTACCCTACGGTTCCTGTTGGCCAGGAGCGTCTCCGCGTTACCCCGACTCCTGGACACATCAAGGAGTACCGCGACCAGCTCGTTGAGGCTATTGATGAGATCTGGACTCGTCTCGACATCAAGCGAACTTCCGATTGGGCTGCTGAGGGTGGCTTCATTGGTGTTGGCGAGCAGGACAATGTTCAGGAGCCCCTATGGACCGATAAGCAGCTCAACATCGAGCAAGCCACCAAGGAGATTAAAGCTACCGGTCAAGCTGTCAACGGCGTTACCGAAGCCCTTCTTGAACTTGAGATCAAGCAGACTTCTCAGGTTGCTACTGCTGCTTAAGCGACGGGCACGCTTAGGAACACAAGCACACTGACATCATCCACCGATGATGAGCAGCACTCAAATTCACTTCTATACAGATAACAGTTGTTTTGAGATATCTATTACCATTTATGCTGTCTTTTGGACATGCCAATTGAAATATTCCCCATTACTATCTTAGGATGTATGGAGTAACTACATACCATTGTTTTCTAAACATTTGTGATTTTTTTTTATGAATTGTGATTATCATGACTACACAGCTATGACGGATATTTTATGTTAAAACAAGTCATGATATGACGGCGTTATTCTTGATATCCATACGCGGAAGAATGTTACACCGAAGCCTCTAAATTGGTTGGCGGGGGTTAGAATGATGGGAATGGTGGCGCCGTGCCCGTTGAGGCGGAGGCCCGGTGAGATTTCGAGGTCCGTCTCCGTCTTGGTGACGGGGTCCCTGCATCCTGACAGCCTTAGACCAGTCAAACGACAGCCAAAACGACAGGGGTCTAGGGAATATCGTTCAGTGTCTGGGATATCGACGCCGTTTTCAACTCCGTCTCCTTTTTGCAAATCGCTTTTCGCTGCTTTTGCTAGACTAACAAGAATCAGATAACTCAGTAATGACAAAATGAGCCCCAATTCTGCTCAGGCTAAGAACAAGGGACCCAAGGCCTGTACAACATGCGCTAAAGCTAAGGCAAGGTGTGTCCCTGGACCTCTAGGGAGCCTCAAATGCGACAGGTAAGCTACGATAATTGGTTCTTTTGGGGATGGTGTTGTTGATGGCTTGTGTTGGTTGCTTTTGTCCCAAACTCGTCTCTTCGAGTGCATATACACATGTAAGTTTGTGGTTAGGTACAGCAGCTGACATCAGAGTCTCAACTTTCAAGGTGCCATCGATTAGACAAACCATGTGTTAACCAAACTCCGGCTCCGGCCCGGCCCCGTAGAAGCCCAAAGCTATCTAAGATAGCTGCTTTAGAGAAACGCCTTGAAGAGCTGTCCTCGCACGTAAGGCGTGAGTCTTCAGAAGAGGAGGACTCCTCGCCTCCACCTTTAGCGAGTGAGAAACGCTCAGAGCTGTTAACAAAATCCGATGCCTGGGGTTTCAATCACTTGTTTCCCTTGAAGCCGGGGATTGAAAGCACCCCCGGTCAACATCCTCCGCCATCAGCTCCGGACAAGACACGGCCATGGGACTCCTGGTGGCCCACGCCCCGTGAAGCGGAGCTACTTCTCAACGGCTATAGGACAATCCACTCATGTCTATTCCCGTTTGTGTGTGTTCCTGGGCATATGACAGCCCTGGAGCTGCGTGAACATCGTCCATTCCTGTGGAAGGCTGTCATGATGGTAGGGTTGTTTCTCGATGGAGCTAGACAAGTCAAGCTTGGTCAAGAGCTCTTAGCTGAGATTGGACGAACAGCTGTTGTGGATGGCCTGAACAGTCTTGATCTACTCCAGAGCTTGCAAATGCTGGTGGCATGGTATGTATCGACATGGTGACCGTCTTGTTGGCACACCCCTGACTTGTCGCAGGTTTCACTATGCGCTGAAGGGCTCTCAAGTGACGAATCTTTTGTTCCTTGCTAGAGCTATATGCGTCAATTTGAGGTTCACGGAAGATACGAGTCTCCAAGGAGAAGAATTCGATCGCAATCTTGATCATATGAGAGTTTACGCTGGCACTTATTACCTTAACACTTTGTAAGAACTGCCGCCCTCATTCGGGGGTTTGCTGACTTTGATATAGAGTGTTCACAGCGAACAAGCGGCCTGATGTCCTCATGAATACCAGTCACCTGGAAATGTGCTGCAGAGTTCTGGAGAGAACTATGCAGCACCCCTCTGATGAGTACTTGATCAAGCTGGTGCGCATTCAGCAGCTGGCACAATCCATATCTGTCACCATGTCAGCGGACAACCTAAGTCAGACCGCCAGCAAACTACCGTTGACAATGTTAGTGCAATCGTTTGAAGAACAGTTGCAGCTGTACAAAGACAATCTTGGCCCGCGGTTAGCTGATAACGGTATGTGCAAATTCTATCACCCCATACGGATCGTCTAGCGCTCACGGTGACTTAGATAATCTCAAGACCCATGTCAACGTAGCCGAGGTGCTCCTATATGAGATCGCCGTCTCGGACCAACACTCTGCAGCATCCTATCTTCCTCTAACTGACCGACTTCAACTTCTCTGGGCTTGTGTTCGATCTCTAAAGACTTTTTTCGATATCCGGTTCGATCATCGAGAGATGGAACGACCACGTTTCCTGTGTATGAGCGCGTCTGAACTTGTGTACACCATCATTGTTGGCATCAAGGTCGTAACCCTTCAGTTACCCGGATGGAACCTCGCCCAGATACACGCAGAGCTTGACATGGTCGAGGTGATGAGCCAGCAAGCTCAAGATCTGGACATCATCGTGGGGCGCCGCAAACACGGCAATATGCTAGGTACACCGACGCCCGGGGGAACGACAGCAGCTACACCAGCACCTCCACCAGATCCTTTTGAAAGGCTTGTGAGGCAGCTCAAATCAGTGAGAGACTTGGTTAAGGCTGAGAGACAGCGTTTGCTCACGGGATCTGGCAACGCTGATCTCGTAGACTTCAGTCAGGACTTCTTGATGGATGATTCAGGAACAGATTTTTGGCAAGCGGCGGCTACAAGAGGTTATAATGTATGGAACATTATTGGCGACCCTGGTGTTTTAAATGAGTCGACTTGACGCGTTGCGGAGTCGGTGAAGAAGGTTGTATCAGCATCTTAGCATTAGGCCGTCGAGTTACTCAGTAAAATTAGCCATGCTCCTTTTCTTTTCCATGATATTAAGGGAGTTTGTTCAAGATAGCAAAAGTTTTCATTGTTGTCTATTCAGAAATTTTCGATGCCTGTCTGACGAACTTTATTCACCTGGAATGGCATCGATATCAACTTCAACTGCCTTGACCTTGGCCATATTCAGCCACCGCAGGTCACCCTTGGCAGTCGATTTTCGTATGCCATACAGCTCATCAAGAAATGTCGGCACAAATGAGCCCGGTCCACGGACTTCGTTCCTTTCAGCGGCGAGCTCAGCAGCGAGTCCAAACATGACAGTTGCAGCGACAGCAGCGAGAAGGGGGTCAGCGCCGTATGCAGCAACCATGGCGCTGACTGTTGTACCAAGAGTGCATCCAGTGCCTGTGACTTCGCCAAGGTAAGGATGGCCATTACTTATGGCCAGAGTACGAATTCCGTCACTTGCGAGGTCGATGGCACCTGTGAGGATGACGACGGTACGCCGGCGTAAGGCGATGGAGCGTACAAGGGATGCCTTTTGGGCAAAAGTGAGGGAAGACGTTGAGTCAACGCCCCGTTGCGTAATTGTGGCGCCCGCTACAGTTTGGATCTCGCCCTCGTTTCCCTTGATGATAGTGAAATGCCCAGCATCGAGAAGAGTCTTGACAGCGTTACGACGAACGGTGGTAGCACCAGCGCTAAAATTATGAGTAAAGATGATTCACAAATAGGATTTTGAAGGCTTACCCGACAGGGTCAAGGACAATAGGCCGATCGGCTTCATTATAGGCCTTGATGGCTTGGAGATAGTTCTTAAGTCCATCGGGAGTGACAGTACCCATATTGACCACGAGAGCACCTCCAAGTTTGGCAAGATCAGCAGCTTCCTCGGCGTAGTTGGCCATTATAGGGCTTGCTCCAACACAAAGAGCCACATTGGCGGCAAAGTTCTGAACAACCTGGCATTCTTGTATGAGAATCTAACATGATCATCACATAGACCGAGCTGTACTCACCAAATTGGTCATATTGTGAGATAGGGGCGTCTTGTCGGCAACGGCCCTGATAACCTCGGGGATTTTGGCAACGATGACTTTACCGAGGAGATCACGAGCTGCGGCAGCTGGCTCGGGGGCAGCGATGAGAGCGCTCACTACAGCGACGCCATCGAGAGACTTGGAGGGTGATCCGGCTGCGGCGAGAACAGGGGCAGTGTTGCTGGCGTTGATACCGCCTATACAAACAGTAGGAACGGCGCCATATCCGGCATCATATAGAGCTGAGAGAATATCACGAACTCCTGAGGGACCGATAATAGATTTCGTGTCCTTTTTGCTAATCTGATGTCAGGGGTTGATGTGAGTCACACGTAATGGTTGTATATCACTCACGTTTGAGTTGAGTAGACAGTTCCGATACCGAGGTAATCAGCACCGGCTTCACAAGCCTTGAGAGCTTCTTCTTTTGAACTCGCGGTTACGCCAATGATTTTGTTGGGGCCTAGAAGCTTTCTTGCTTCTTCATATGCTGTACCACATAATCAGATCATGTCTTGATAGGTAGTGAGAGATATCAACATACCCATATCATCCTGCCCAATGTGCACGCCCTCACAGTCTATTTCAGCGGCAATGTCAACACGATCGTTGATGAGAAGGGGGACATTGTAACGATGGGCAATGGCGTGTAGCTTCTTGGCTGTTTCTACAGCGACTGGGCGCTCACTGTGCTTGTCTCGGTATTGAAGGATGGTGACACCGCCTCGCAAAGAAGCCTCAACTACTTCTTCGAGGCTACGATCGCCAAGAATCTCTGGTGTTGAGTCTGTGACCAAGTAAAGGCCGTAGTTGACTGTGGGCTTGGCCATGGTTGATGGTGATGAAATCGATGGTTGAGCGACTTCGGCGGGGTTAGTGTTTGGTGATTGATGAGATGGGAGCGGAGACTTACATAGAGTTGACTCTCTTGGCTTATGCTTCTATTATTCTTTGCCGACTAGAGGTCTCTTCAAGAAATGGGAAGAGATTTGGAAGGGTGGAGTGAGCGATATTAAAGGTAATGAGGTAAAAGTGTGGTGAGGTGATGGATGAGTTACGATGACATAGGGTAGGGTAATTGCACAACTTGAACTCAAGACTTGGCAGCACCTCACTCTGTGTGTGAGCTGGTACTTACCTAGGTATATAAATAACAAAAAGAAATGAAGCCATTGCCTTAAATTTTCTTTTTTCAATAGTTTGAAGTTTGTAACAAGCGACTAAAACCATGCATATATTTTGGATGTTGAGTGTTCTTACAACCTTAGTTTCCTCACACAATAAGTACAACAGCTCCTCGAATTTTCAATTCTAAAATCTCGAGATATCTCGGCCAAAAATCCATGTAATCAACCAATAAAAAGGTATCATGAGCTTATTCTTTAAACTCATGCTCTTGGTCAAATACGCCGTCCTCCACAGAATCCACGCCGCTCGACCTTTGAGCTCATCAGCACCCTTCTGATGAATAGCCCGCCAACCTCCAAGATACGCCATTGTACCCCAGTTACGGAAGTGAAACGGTGCAGTTGGAGGCCCCTGAGAAGATGTTCCAGCGTTGAATCTCTTGCCGAGATATGTAGCTTGTTGACTTGCTACTTGTGCTGTGGCGGGAAGTGATTCGCCTTGGATATTGGCGCAGTCACCAATTGCGTAGACGTCGGGGAGTGTCTTTGTGATTTGTTTGCCGTTGGAATCTTGGGTTTCGACCTGGACTCGAAGGTGGGAATCAACAGCGAAACCGCCTGTCTTGCAATTCTTTGCGATCTTTCCCATGCCCTTCACTTCTCGTCCAACTAACCTGCCAACCAGGGGGTTCTGCATGAGACCCGTGCTCCAGACGACAACGCCCGCTGCTACTTCTTCGGATTCTTCCTTGATACGCATGAGAAGAACATCATCGTCTCGTCGAATGCCCTGGAGGTGATGTTCGGTCTTGACTTTGATGCCTGCGCGGCTGAAGATGTTTGTAGCGTATGCGGCCAAGTTGCGATCAAACATAGGGAGGACCTTTGGTGCAATATCGTAGATGGTGATGGCAACATGAGGCATCAGTTCGGGATACAGCTTGGCCAAGTCTTCGTGTATAAGATCGTGAAGCTCAGCTGCGTATTCGATACCTGTAGGGCCGCCACCAACAACTGCAAAGTGAAGTAATCGTTTCCTCTGAGCAGCACTTGTGCTAGGCAGAGCAGCCTGCTCGAACTTCTGCAGCACTTTTAGACGTACTGTTCGAGCATCTGTAGCATCTCTCAGAAAACATGCATGCTCCTTAACACCCTCCACACCAAAAGTCTGACTGTAGCATCCAACAGCTACCACAAGCTTATCATACGGAACCTGGAACTCGAGGCCCTTTAACAGATCCTTGCCCGAGCGGGCTGTGACTCCATCACGCTGGTTAGCTTCAACGGTGATGGTTTTGTTAGCGAAGTCAATATCAGAAGCCCAAGCCTGATGGAACTCTGTAAGATCGAGTTTACGACAGGGTTCGACAGCAGCTCGGAACTCGAGAGTGCCAACGGCGGTTGAGGCGATGAGGGGAGTGAAGACGAAGTGAGAACGAGGAGAGATGAGAATCCGAGAGGCTTGAGAGGGAGATATTGTCTTTGCGAGAGCGTATCCAGCCCAGCCCGAGCCTAGAACGACGATGCGCTCTTTTGGTCCTGAGAGAAAGCTCATGTTAGTTAGAGTGGTAATAGGAGACGAGGCGCTCTGAGGCCAATTCAAGTCTCTTATGGCAAAAAGACAAAAGCACAAGCCAATTGACCCCTTAAAGAAGTTACCGCACTCACCTTGTTGAGTCGCTGTACTGGCCAGTCTCTTGCAAGTCACCAACAAGCGCCGTTCCGCCCCCCTACGCCCCAGAACATGTCCGATCATGGCGTATCTCTTAATTTCGCGTGACCAGAAAACCCGTAGTATCACGGACACAACAGCCAATGAGTTCTTGACGATAAAGATTTGTAAACAGTACAAAGAACAGAATATCTAAACCGTGGGTATGCGGTACCGCAAGTCTCGCCGTGTAAGTGGGTGTTTTGGCAGGGTCGTTTTTCTAGCTGCCTCCACTAGAATAGGAAGAACCGAGATAGAGGGATTATGATAGAGTATTCAACAAATGTTGATTGGGATTTGCTGAATGTATTATGAAAGCCGTAACTAAGCGGGCGTTGGTGCTCTTTAAGTAGCTACTTAGGCTATCTATATCAATTCATCGTCACTATCTTCAGCTACATACGTAGTGTTTTACTCGGTGTCATAGCTAGCCCTGTTTGTACCTGATACCCCTTCCGGGAGATCAACTACAAGGGGTTCCCTGTAGTCGGTACTTGCACCTCGGACCCCCGGTCCTCCCGGTGAGCGCTCCGCCAACGATAATTCACCGGAGCCGTCCCTTTCCTCTTCTCACTCACCTTGAGAGTTTTCCGCTCATGGGCTTGGACTCACGGCCACGGGCTGATCCGTGTCTCCGGAATCTGTGATATCCAGAACCCGGCTGCCCGATACAATAGAATTTCTTCTACCAGCTGACTCACATGCCTTCGACTTACATAGCATGGTCCGAATATACCAACCTATACGAGTTATACACACTCTCACATGTCATAGCATTTCAGCCTCATCGTAATGCTAACAAATCAAGCTTCTCCATTTTACATACATAGTAAACCTCTAACTAACGTTAGTATAACCTTTCTACGTCATAGCCTGCTTATTCCCAGCTTCTCAAAATCAACTCCAGTCCTCCCTCCCTTCGCCCGCCTCATGCTGTTGATTACTTCTCCCCTTTTGTCTATTGTAACATGGCATCCAGACTCTCTCCCAACACTCCCTCAATCTTGACTATCCATCGGTGTGTCTCCCGTTCAACTACCTCATCATCGTCCTCCTGCAACTCACTAATGCGAGGAAGCATCTCATGTAGCATAGACAGCCATTCCTCGCCAAGACGATCCGTCAGTGCCTGCTCACACTTGACCGCGGCAAGTCTCACTGCCGCAGACTCGGATCGCAGGTGCTTCAGGAGCGCAGAGTTGAGCTCCTTCTGGTGAGCCTGTGAATCCGCCGCCGAGGCCAGCTCCACTGTGGTTGGGATGAGCTCTTCTGTCACCTCCACCGTACCGGCATGTGAGAACTGCTCCATCAGTACCGGTCCAACGGCGCTAAAGTGGGCCGGAGCCTGCCAGAAGTCATCCTGGTCGTGCTCGAAGCAGTTGGCCAGGGTACGTAGTACCCTTGACCAGAGTTGTCTCTCCTCTGGGCTCTTCAGATCCACCGACTTCAAAACCTTGACGGCATCCTCCACAATGTATGTAGCGTAGTTGGTAACGATCGATTTAAGAGTTCCAAAGAATGCCTCAAGGAATCCATAGACGCTGTATTGACGTAGCGAGCGTCCCACTCGGTCGCTCTTCGACAGTCCAGAGCTCGACCACTCCATGAGCTGAACAAAGACAGGTCGGAATGCCGCGTCGTTGAGCTTGTAAATCATCTTTAACGCCTTGTCGTTGGCGCTGACGTCAAGAGCACTGAGCCTCAAAAGGTCTTGCTCACCAATCTCGCCCTTAGCACGCTCCTGTCGTCGTAGGTCAAAGACCTTTGTGAGGATGCTCGACAGGAGCGTGGCATTCTTGGAAATGCCAGACTTGGAGTGCTTGTCAATAGCCAACCCGAGAACATCAAGATATTCAGCAACAGCCTGTAAAAGTTAGCAACTTTCATACACACAGTGGTTATCAAACTTACGGAGAAGCCGGCACTTCTGGCACTCTCCCAGTTTCGCTCTAAAGCCGAGAAGATCTCCTTCGCCTCAAGTTGCTTAGCCAGGAAGTGAAGACAATCGACACGGCTTTCCTTTGTATCATCATCCAATTCGATCTCAGCTGATTTGTTGGAGACTTCCAGAATGCGATCGATATATGTTGAAAGCATGTAGGGAAGGTGTTGAGCCAGAGCGCTGATGAATCCGTAACAAGCAACATGAAGTTCCTCGTCACGAGCATCCTCACTCAAGCTTTCATCCAGGTACTTGACAGCCTGAGGGATTGCGCTCGGAAGAACGGGTACGATGGCGTCTTGGAGTACATCCACGAGCGAGGTAAGGCACAACAGAGCCATAACCCGGAGGCGCTCCTCAGACTGTCCCAAGCAATGCTCGCCAGCAATTGTTGTAGCTGCTGCCACAACAGCCTCGATATCCTTCTTTCCATACTTCTCGGCAATCTTGTCAACGCATGTGACAGCGGTGTGCTTGTATCGCATATCGGTAGACTCCCTGATACCGGCCGTAAGCTGCGGAAGGAATGCAAGCAAGACAGCCCTTGATGCTGGGTCGGTGTTGCTCTCCTGTTCCACCCGAACCTCAAGAGCACGTAGGACCTTTTGTCGCAGTCCCATGTCAGGTCTATCGAGCAGGTTCTCAACAGCCTTGATAAACTCTCCAATGGACAGTAAGTTGAGATGATTGGAGAGGGCCTGTCCGCATCGGCCATGAAGAGTTTTATTCCCCTTGACCGTATCAGCTAGAACAAGGATGTTTTCAAGAAGTGTGGCATAAAGCTCCCTCAGTCTCGATGCCTCCATATCGTCCTTCTCCATCAAACCTCCAATCTGCGCTCTGAGTTTCTTGTTAGCCAAGAAGCTAGGGAAGGCCGATAGTTGTCGGAGGGCAATGGCTTCGACATCCTTATTTTTGTCATCCGTCTCATCAGTGACACCGAGGAGGACGAGAGAGATGCCGGGCTTTGTCTTGAATAGGTCAGCGATAAGGTCGAGCTGCTTGACGAGCGATTCGAGTTGTGTTGGGATGCTGAAGTGATTCAACAACTCGATAGCAAATTGTAGCAGAGCGTCACTGGCACCATATCGATCAACCAGCATACTGATAAGAGCGTGGAGGAAGTCTTGTGGACCGAGAGTCTCGACAAGGGCAACAAACAGCCCCTGTCGTCGATGAGCGGGGATGTGCTCGTATGCCGTTGTGAAGCTGACAAGAATATCAGAGGCGCCAGCGATAGGGCTCTTCTGTCCCTGACGCAGAGAGTCGATTAACGGAGGAATAACTTCCTTGATAGTTTGAGACACAACGTGGGCAGAGTAGTCGTCGCTTTGGCGAAGTACTGATGTACCCATGAAGGTGAAGATGGGCATGACACTATGCAGGACCAAGTTCGGCGCGGTAGTGGCCAGACTGGCAATAAGGAGAAGGGCAGCATTCTGGACGACAGGACTCGAAGATCTTTGGATGCAGTTAACAAGCAAATCCCCGTACCCGCCAGAGCTGTCAATCGTGAGCTTCTTGTTCGCCTTGTAAGCTGGCATCATGGCCAGCAGGCTTCGAAGAATGAGATTCTGTAGGTAGCCCAGCTCAGATCCGACAACTGTTCTAAAGTGCTGGAGTTCAGAAAGGGCAGTAAATAGGCCATCCAAAAGCTCGGGATGCTCAACTGGGTCCGAGTTCTCGACCAGCTGCAGAACGAATGTGACCTTTCGCAGTGACTGGCTGAGTTCGGGAGTAACCTGAGTGATGAGACCACGGTCGGCTCCAGAAGAGCTAGTTCGGCGGCGCTTGTTGGGTGGAGGCTCGGTGACCATCTTAGTTCCAGTTTGTATGGACTGAAGGAAATCATGAAGAATGTCGGTAGTGAGTCGCACGTTCCTCAAAAAGTCAGCCGCCTCTGCAGAAACAACTGATTTGCTGTCAGTTGAGACTGTGGATTCCTGGGAGATCTCCAGCAACTGATCAGCAGCTGTTGACTTGACATTAGGCTTCATTGAAGACCACATCTTCTTCATGCGAGTGAAAGTCGCACGAATAAGGTCGGCCTTTTCTCTTTGGTCTGGATTTCTGAGAAATTCTAAGAAAAATTCTAATCCTGCAACGTCGTTTGGCACCACAACATCGACAAAACAATTGTCCATATCTGACTTCTCGAGACGTTCTGCGCTGCAGAGCTTAGCTGCCTCGTCCTCGCTCAGACTTGCCCACCATTGCAAAACAGGGAGTAGAAGTTGCGTTCTGGTTGTGGTGCTGACGCCCCGAACTTCGTTGACGGTCTTTAGCAACCTACTCTTTACCAGAATCAAGGGTGTGTTGACGATGTGTGAGGCGAGGAATTGGAGGAAAGATAGTCTTCCAGGTTGAGACAAATGGTCCTTCTTATCCAATGCAGGGTTCGGCTTGGTCTGATATTTTCCTTGCTCAATTGCGGTACGAAGGACGGCAGTGATATGTTCAGGGTCCATGACACACTCCTCAACGGTAGGAAGAATCTGAAGATGCAGAACCTTGGCGACAACATCGGATGGTAGAGACATGATTTCTTTGGACTTTCCGTATAGGCTCTGTTGACCCCAGAGGTCGAGTCCCGTAGAAGGAACTGGAGGAGTGTAGAGACCAGTGAGGACAGTGATCAGATCGGCGGCAGCTTGACGGACGCGCTTCGAGGGATCGCTGAGTGCTGAGATACAGTAGGGGAGAAGAGCCTGAAGATCAGTCTTTCCAGCATCACCAACTTTTAGCCTTTTCTTAGTCATATCCAGAGCTGCAACACGAGCCAAGGCTGGGTAGGGGCCGCTCCAGATGCGAATGAAGAAACTGAAATATGTGCAGTCCTTGAAAGCAGCCTGTCGGTGAAGCTTGGGGTTGAGTTCGAATTCGGAAAGCAGGCCCGAAGTTTGCGAGCTCTCGGAAACAACAGAAAAGAAGATATGACTGAATTCGTCAAAGATCTCGCCGGGCTGAGGCACGAGACAAGGAGAGAGCGATTCGGACCGGCTGGAGAGTTCCTTGAGGAACAAGCCCAAATCCTGGGGCGCCTTCTTTTCATCATTGCCAATAGCGATGTCTTGATCGTCTTTGATCGTGTCGGGGAGTCGTCGAGAGCGGAATGAAAGGTCGAGCTTCATCTCAAGCTCCTCAATATCGAACTTGACTTCTTCAATAACAGACTGGATGGTGTCGCCAGATTTGCCGGTGCTCTGAGACAAGGCAATTAGTGCCGAACCGAGTTCCCGTCGAAGAGCGCCGTCCTCGTCATTATCATCGCTAAGTCGATGCGCAGTCAAGATAAGAGACTTGAATATTACAGCAATTTGTTTATCCTTGAGGACCGAGCTGCTGAGAATAGTGATAATAGTTGCCAAACCTCGAGCGTCGCCCTTCTTGGTAAGTCTCTCTATCAACGCAAGACAGAGACCATTTGCTAATTTGTCAA